GATTAACAAAATAATACTAAGTGACCACCTTTCCTAGAGTCCTACAGGTGCACATACCTGACAAACCCACCCAAAGAATACAAGGTAACTTTTAAGACAAAGGTTCAGTAGTTCATGTGAGAAAAAGGAAATGCTGATTTCTCCTCTTTAAAGGTTATGAATATTTACTTAGTGGCTCATCCACAACTACTACTCATTTCAAAACTAAGGAAACTGGATAAGTGAACATTATTTGTGAGCATTTCAAATGCTGCAATATTTTTGTAGTTCAGCAGCTCATCAGCTTAGCAGTCTGCTTAGTAAGTTACTCTAAAAAAAGTAAAGACGTATACCTATTTAGGGCGAACTTGATTCAGATGGATGTAACCTTCATTGTTTTTGTCATACAGGCTGATTAATAAGAAGTTCTCTGGATAGAGTTGGATAAAAATAGTTTGATCAAGGTAACCCCACACCAATTGCATTAGAGAATCTCTACTGCGAAATTTGAACCAATATCTCCCTTACAGCTGTAGCATTCTTTCTCTACTCATTTTCAAGAAAGCCCTCGGTCATTTCTTTTCTAATCGATAGTTTTCCTGGAGAAACTTTTAGTTCAGTGGGAGAAAAGGAAAATCTGTGCAGAAGAAAGTTTAAGAGAAAAAAAATTGTGCAGCGCCTTTAAAGCATCTTTTTCAAAACCTAAACTAAACACTAAACCACTAAGTTAATCAATCAAATGAAAACTATAGATTTATGCTAACCTTCCTTCTAAAAAAACTTCCAAACACTTTTCATTAAGCTCTTTCTAGGGGAATACTCGGGTATCAAAAGTTTTTCTCAGAGTGTCCAGAAAAACACCACATTTCCATTGAAGTCAAGCTTTTCCTACATCAGAAAGAAGATTAAGCTTCAAAGTATGACATTGTTTAACAACTTCTAAGAGCCGTAAATAAAACAAAGTGAAAAAACTAAGGTCTCAAATCACTTCATAGGGACAGATGCTCAGCTCATGTTAAAAACAAGCAGTTGTTTGCTCTCTCAATTCCTCTTTCTCTTACGGAAATCAAGACCACTTTCCGAGGAAAATAAAAAAGCTGAATGAATAAACAAAATTTGAAAACCAGTATAGGCAGATTTCCTCAATTTTAACACACAAGTGTAGAGAGCAACTTCTTGATCTCTTCCAAACACTGACATTAACTTTCTGTCATTAATATCTGAAAACAAGCGGCCGTTCTCACATTCACGCGCACGGTGTGGTAACGCATTTACTTTGGTTTTATTGTATTTTTTCCTTTTTTCTGGCCCTGATTATAAAAGGAATAGATTTATCAAGGTCAATGGGATGAAATTAGGAATGGAGTGTATCCAGTTTCTGTGTTTCCACAGTAAATACTCAAAATAATATTGTTTGGGACACTCAATAACAGACTACAGACTTAAGGCTTCAGCCCTCCTCAAACGTCAACAAAACTTACCCAAATGGGTTCTTATCTTAACTGAAAAAATGACTTGCTTCCAAGTTTAACAGATTAAATGGTAGCGACAAATAGTGACTGTAAAATGTCCTAATGGAAAGTAAAACCTTTTACTCGAAATCATTAAAATCATCAAAAAGCCACAATATTTGCTTCCCTTTGGATTTCCTCTCTTAATTTGGCATCCTTTCAACATTTAATGAACGCTAGCTAATGTAAAGTAGGTATCACCAATACTGAAAGTTACAACGTGTTTAAATTCAAGTAAAAGGAAAATTTCTGCACACCTAGTCCGTTACTGATCGACAAATAAAAAGCATACCGCAGAAAGAAGCAAACTGAAAAATGTCATATTTTCATCGTAAACAGTCTTTTTAATTCTTTATTCTTATTTTTTTAGCGGGCTAATTGATGAAGTGATTTTAAAACGCCTAGAAACTACTGCAAGGTGGTCCAGACTCGCCAGTTCTTACAGAAACACAGCAAGAAATAGATGCAAATAACAAAGCGACAGCGATGTAAACAGCGAAATAAAAACATAACTGCCCATCGTGGTATTTACACATGCCGCATTGTAATTAAAAATTACATTTACAAACTGATTTAAACCGACTGGTGGTGACTTCTCATGAGATGAACTTGACTCTTGTTCTATAAAAGCAAAGGAAATATCGCACTTGCTCCGCGTACCAAAGGCGTAAAAATTCTTGAAACAACACCACAGGAAATTGAACAGAATAGACATGAATAATGACTACATATGCAAACTAAGATCACAAAACTTACGTGGTATTGTGTCCGCAACCAGGGGATGTTACTCTGACGTAAAGCTGCACTCAAATCTATCACCTGTTGCTTTGTCATTGTAACATCATCAAGCGACAGCGCCACCAGGTGAGGAACACAGCAAAGATGTCGAGTGAGAACACTTACTCCTTCACCAAGAGGGTTATGTGACAAGTTGAGATAGCACAGGCTAGGAGCCTGGTGCAGAGATCTGGCGATGGCTGCGGCAGGTTTTGCTGTTAAATTGATATTTTCAAGTTTTAATCTCACGAGTCTGTCAGTGAAGATGATATGAGACACCAGGGTCTCTGCCAACTGAGCATCAATGGTTTCACACGGTTTACCAGCAATAAATAAACACCGCAGAGAAGTGCAAACTGGTAAGCAATCAGCCAGTACCTTCATCTCTTGCCTTTCTAAGTTGGCAATATTAATGTTCCTCACACAGGAAAGGCTGTTTGGAGTCGGATCAGTGATACGATTAGTGTTTTTAGTCAAACACGAAGCTGTTTCGTTGTCTTGTTCATTCAACGGATCACCGATGCGCTTCACCAGAGTAGACTCTGTTGTTGATGAAATGAGCTCTCGCAGCATTTCAGTCGGAAAGGTGTCAAAATCTTCTTTCCATATTTGATAAACATAAAGGATAATTTTTCTCTCTCTCTTCAAGAGGAACTCTTTCAAAGGACGACGTGGGCACTTCTTTAGAAAATCTGCGGCTTTTTTTTCACCCGAACAGCTCAAAAAAACAGCACCTGTGTCCTCCGCTAAAGTGATTAAGTCTCGATAGTTTTTCTCGGAATCCTCTTTCTTGTGTTTGAAAAAAATGAAGTTGGGTATCACGGCAGATTTCAGCACGTGTCTATTAGCAGTAATGTTCAGCTGGTTAGAATCAAGTAACAAAACATCTCCAGTGTAAGAGGGAAACATCGAACAGAGATCCTGCCTCTTCTCGGCCGAACACCAAATATAGCTATGCGAGATAAGCTCTAAATAAAGCTGTTGATCTCGAGACAACCGTTTTTCAAGCTGC